ATCTTAGCCTTCTTTGATATGCTGTTTTAACAGAGCTGCAAAAATGTGGCCATGTGTGCATTGTCTTTTTTTACATTCGATTGCAACAAACCACACTGAAAGGTACTTTCCGCTGAAGGTCATTACCTAAAACTTGATAGCAGAGGCCCAAAGTACATTTCAGACTACTTCTGCTTCTAATTTTATTATTATACGGAGGTAAGACCTAGCTATCATTTTCAATATGCAATATCTTGCAACAGAAGAAGTGTTTTATTTCACATGCAATTTGCTCAGCTGCTGGAATTTCCCAATTTCTCATGCACCTCCACAAAACACTCACTAAAATGACCTACCTTTCTGAAATTGCAGATCTGCTCGACTGCACAAAGCAGTGCCCTGCCTTATTTCTAGAAAAAAGTCCTCAAATAACTTTTATTGTATATGGTATTTTTCTAATGCTGATATCAGGAAGTAGAAAAGAGAAATGATGCTTTTATAATATCTCTAGCTGCTGAGAAGGCAGGTGCAATTTATATTGAAGGTCAGTTGGCTTTGGACTCAAAATATTCTCTGTGACTATGTTCACCCTGAATATAGAGTTAAAGGATAATTTTATATTTTAAGATCCCTCTTTTGTCTCTCAAATTGCTTTTAAAAAACAAAGATTTAGATCCCAGTGATGCAGTGACTAAGTAGGCAAACATGACAGCCGTTATGAGCTAAGCAATAACTCACTGTGCCTTGGATGCTAGAAACGATTTTATTGAGACAAGCAATGGGGGGAAATGAATTGCCAATTCCTTTAGGGCCCTGAACTGTGTACAGTTTGTTTTTCTTAAGTGAATTCATCAGTAGGTTTCAGTGTACCATTTTGCAATGCTTTCACACATGGCAATATTGGGGTGAGGGGGGTTACCTATTCTTTTTGAGCAGGTAGTAACTATTATTGCTTTCACATAGGCTCAAACAGACCCAATCTGAGTTTGAATCTGAGTTCGATTTGCACTTTCCTGACATGATCCTCCACATCCACCTTCAAAACAGTATATTCTAGATCTGTTGTCAGTCATGTGCCATTAGAGTTCAAACCTCGAACCTACTTTGATTGATAGGATTTAGCCCTGGAATCCTGAAATTGGATGATAGAGAAGATCTCCAACTAGGTTCTTGTGGGTTTTTTCGGGCTATAGAGCCATGTTCTAGAGGCATTTCTCCTGACGTTTCGCCTGCATCTATGGCAAGCATCCTCAGAGGTTGTGAGGTCTGTTGGAAGTAGGAAAAATGGGTTTATATATCTGTGGAATGGCTGGGGTGGGGCAAGGAGCTCTTCCCTGCTGCAGTTAGGTGTGAATGTTTAGCTGATCACCTTCATTAGCATTTGAAGGCCTGCCTGAGCCTAGGAAAATCTGTTGCTGGGAGGTGTTAATCTGTGCCTGGTTTTTTCCTCTCTGTTGTTTAGCTGTTATAATTTTAGAGTTTTTCTAATACTGGTAGCCAGATTTTGTTCATTTTCATGGTCTCTTCCTTTCTGTTGAAATTGTCCACATGCTTGTGGATTTCAATGGCTTCTCTGTGTAGTCTGACATGGTGGTTGTTGGTGTGGTCCAGCATTTCTGCGTTCTCAAATAATATGCTGTGTCCAGGCTGGTTCATCAGGTGCTCTGCTATGGCTGACTTCTCTGGTTGAAGTAGTCTGCAGTGCCTTTCTGTTCCTTGAGTGGCTTGTTCTTGGTCTTGCAGTCTTCTGATGTCTGAGGTGGAGTATCCATTGGCCTGGAGAGCCCAGTTGAGGTGGTTCAGTTCATCTTGGAGGAGGTGGGGTTCGCAGATTCTTTTTGCATGGTCTGCCAAGGCTTTAATGGTGCTTTAATGGTGCCAACAACACCATGTCAGACTACACAGAGAAGCCATTGAAATCCACAAGCATGTGGACAATTTCAACAGAAAGGAAGAGACCATGAAAATGAACAAAATCTGGCTACCAGTATTAAAAACACTCTAAAATTACAACAGCAAAACAACAGAGAGGAAACAAACCAGGACACATTTTAACACCTCTCAACAAAAGATTGCTCCAGGCACTGCCAAGCAATCAAATGCTCATCAAGGTGAAAGTAACATTCACACCTAACTCCAGCAGAAGAGCTCTTTGCCCCACCCCAGCCATTCCACAGATATATAAACCCATTTTCCTACTTCCAACAGACCTCACTACCTCTGAGGATGCTTGCCATAGATGCAGGCGAAACGTCAGGAGAAATGCCTCTAGAACATGGCCCTATAGCCCGAAAAAAACCCACAAGAACCTAGTTATTCCAGCCATGAAAGCCTTCGACAATACAAGATCTCCAACTGTTTCCTTGTTAAAACAATCCATTTAATATTCATTTTTGTTTCACATATACTTTACAGACATTGTCTATTCAGTCACCATGGATCAACAGAGACTGGGACTCTGATACATTTCTAAATTGACAGAGTTATGTACTGATGAACAGTCAGTGGCTCCCATTGGGTGAAAACAGAGATACGTTTATCAAGTAACTTGGGTTACTATCCCTTATCTGGAATTCTGAAATCCAAAATTTATTTATTTATTTATTATTTAAAACATTTACCATATTTTCCAACATATAAGATGACTGGGCGTATAAGAGGACCCCAACATTTCCAGTTAAAATATAGAGTTTGGGATATACTCTCCATATAAGACTACCCCTCTTCCAACACACACTGCAGCCCTCAGTGTGAGATCTGAGAGACAGAGAAAGAGGTACAGTAATAGGATACAAGGGCAGGTAGGTGGATGAAAGAGGCATGTTTTTCTGGGCACAGTGCCACTCTATCTCTTTTTTCCATACCCGGTGGTCCCGGATGCCTGCAGCTTGCTCCGCCTTTCACTTACACCTTCCCGGTAAGGCGCCCCCTCACCTCATCATCGGGACTGCATTAAGTCACTTCTTTCCACGAATCTACCATACTTGTACAGTGGCACCCTTGCTGCTTTCATACAGTCACCACATAGGGTGGAGATGTGGCCACAGCCATTTTTGAGCTCCCCTCACCATATGTGGCGACTGCAGGTTCTCCAGTCCATCTTAGAAGTTTCAGCACCTGTCCTATAAGATGACACCCAGCATATAAAACGACCCCTGGTTTTTGAGAAGATTTTCCTGGGTTAAAAAGTAGTATTATATGCCAGAAAATACAGTATATTCCACCCTTCTGACCTCAAAGGGGACTCAGGGCAGAGCACAACATACAAAATGGCAAACATTCAATGCCGGGACATAAATAGATGCTTCAGCATCCAAAATTATCCATATGGGTGATTGAAATAATGACACCTTTCTGATGATTCTGTGTACCACAACTTTGTTTCATGCCCAAAATTATTAAAAATACTGGATTTAAAATTACCTTCAGACAATGTCTATAAACAAATGAATTTCATGTTTACACTGGGGTTCTATTTCAAACATACCTCATTATACGAGGGGTATTTTTTAAGTAAGGTCCGTTTTGTTGTAGACACTTGTAGTTCGCGCGCATACCGCAATGAGTGCGTGCGTTGTGTACCAGCATGCCTCAGGAACAACTGTGCTCAGTTTCCACTCTTTAGCTAACCTGTACGGTTCTGTTCTGTGTTTTAAAAATGTTTAAGACTATCAACTCACCCACCGCATGTGAGGTTCGCTCAGTGATACGGTTTTTGTCAGCAAGGAACCTGCCTGCTGCAGAAATTCATGGACAGATTTGTGAAGTGTACGGTGATACTGTTATGAGTGAAAGCAAGGTGTGTAAGTGGGCCGTGACAACGTCCATGATGAGGACTGCTCCGGTTGCCCTTCTTTGATTACAGACGATTTGGTGGCTTTAGTTGAAGCGAGGATTCGTGAAGAGGGTATTTTAAAATTGGTTCAGAGGTATGATAAGTGTTTGAACAAACTTGGCAACTATGTCGAAAAATAGAGTGAAGTATGTACTTTCTGAAAATAAA